TCCCCACTCCCTGGAAACCACAGAACTATTCACTGTCTGTATAGTTTTGCCTTTTCCAGAATGCCATATAGTTGAAATTGCACAATATGTAGACTTTTCAGTTTGGCTTCTTTCACTTAGTAATTTGCACTTAAGATTCCTCTGTGTCTTTTCATGGCTTGGTAGCTCATTAAAGATGCTGCAAACATCGGTGTGCAGGTTTTTGTGCAGATGTATACTTTCAGTTCCCTTGGGTAAATACTGAGGAGTGCAATTCCTGACTTGTGTAGGAGGAGTATCCTTAGCTTCGTGAGGTACCGCCAATTGTCTTACAAAGTGGCTGCGCCATGTGCATCTGTACCAGCAATGCTGCTCTGCCTCCCCGTCAGCATTGGATGCTGTCAGTGTTCTGGATTTCGGCCATTCTCAGAGGTGTGTTGTGGTATCTCATTGTTTTTATTTGCATTTCCCTGATGACGTATGATGTGGAGCATCTTTGCACATGCTTATTTACCACCCGTGTGTCTTCTTTGGCGAAGTGTCTGTGAAGGTCTGTGGCCCATTTTTGAATCTAGTTTTTTTGTTTTCTTATTGTTGAGTTGTACATTTTGTAAATTTTGGATAATAGTCCTTTATCAGATGCATTTTTTTTTTTTTTTGCAAATATTTCCCCCCAATCTGTGGCTTGTCTTCTTATTCTGTTGACATTGCCTTTCACAAAGCAGTTTTTCATTTTAGAATATTTCTGGGTAATGATCACTTTTTATCATTGTCCTCAGGTTGGTTTCCTGGGAAACAGTCTCAGAGGCAGATGCACACGTGCAGGAGGTTTCCCGGGGAGGGCCTTAGAGGCAATGCCGTGAGAGGCGAGGGACGCAGGGCTGGGGAGAGGCAGAGGAACTGCGGTGCAATAGCAACAAAGACTCAGCCATTTTCCTGGAGGAGCCCTGGAGCTTGCAGGTGCTTTAGAGGTTTCCCTAATCAAACAAGGGAGCTAGGCCTTTGATCCTTACCATCAACTAGGCAGTGGATACAGGTTGCCCTAGAAACGGGGTATAACCTTGGATGGAGCAGCTCACTTTGGCCCAGGGCAAGTCCCAGGGAGGGACTGAGGTGTGAGTGCCAGTGCCCTGCACTCCCTGCAACCGAGGGCACAAGTGCCTTGCCCTGCCCCATGGTGGGGGGGTCCACGCAGCACCCCACAGTGTCCACTCTACATCTGAGAAAAATAAACTTGAAAACAAAAAGAAAGAATGTAGGGCTTGGACATGAAGGACATTCAGCTCCACCACTAACTTCTTGTATGATCTTGGGCACGTCTCTTTGGGCCTCAGTTTCCCCATCTGTGCACTAAGAAGCCATTACTAGACAGTCTTTGGCTTCTTAGTTATAGCTCATTGGGACACATCCGTAAGTCACAACCGCCAGGTAAGCAGGTGCCCTGGAAGCCAACCACAGCAACTACAGAAGGTGGGGCTGAGGTGGGGCCGAAGGACTGAAGGGAAGCCGGAGTCACAGGAGTTCACAGAACTAGGCCAGGTGACCCGTCCTACAGGGACTTCCCCTCAAGGTGTTTCTATGAATCATTAGTCTGTAAAATAGCAGAACAAAGTGGGACCTGAATCTTCCTTTCGTTATACAAATGAGGAATCAAAAAGCACATCCAACATCACAGACTTACCAAAGTCAACAGCAGACTTAGGAAATTAACCTCAGCTCTTGAAACCTGGCCACATGATTTCTCAATATCCCCATGTTGCCTGTACCTTGAGAGAATGAATCAAGGTTTGTTTGGGTTGGAAGAAAGAGATACCCCCTCAAGGTAACTTCCTTGATAGGACACCTATTTGAAAAGCGTCCGGATGAAAGAAAAACGTCCCTTACCCTCTCCTTTAAAAAGGGAGAAACCAAGGGACCAGAAAGAAGCTATTTGAGCACAGAACTCTGCAGTCAGCCTAGGACAGGTTTAAAGTACGTTCAGCCCTGGCTGGTGTGGCTCAGTTGGTTAAAGCATCATCCCGTAAACCCAAAGCTCGCGGGAAAGCTTGTGAGTTTGATTCCTAGTCAGGATGCATAGCTGGGTTGCGGGTTTGGGTACCCTGTCGGGGCACATGCAAAAGTCAATGGATCGATGTTTCTCTCTCACATCAACGTTTGTCTCCCTCTGTCTCTTCCTCCCTCCCATTCTTTCTAAAATCAATAAGCATGTCCTTGGGTGAGGACAAAAAAATAATAATAAAATAAAATAAAATAAAATGTATTCAGAGTATAGGACAGTAAGGTTAGAATTAAGGGAACCATATGATTAGCTCAAATGCCTTCGTATAGACTTTGGAAGACTTTCAGGGAAAAATAATTTTGTAGTTCAAGTATATGACTTTAGATGAGCTAGTTGCAAGTAAGCTCGAGCCAGAGAGAAGATGGCAGCCCTTTCCTCTTATTCCCGCCAAGAATGGTGGACTCCCCTATCCCCTGTTCTGGGACCCCCAGCCCCACCACACAGAATCAACAACACTGAAAGTCAAGTTCACCCTCCCCCCCCCGAACACCAGCAGCCTATGTAAGGGAAAATCGCTTGGTATTCAGGGGACCTGGAGCGTGGCGGTGATTTATTTATACATGGTGTTCCCGCAGTGAGGCTTCTGATTCATCTGCTTTCACTTCCCGCCCCCAACTGCACCCAAAGATAGACGGGAGACAAACGCCGCCATGTGGGGTCCGTCCTGAAATGAGGTACCCCCTGGATCTCAAGGGCAGGAAGTAACACGAGGCTATGCGGTGGGCCCCAAACAGGGGGCAGGACTGCGCTGTTCATGTAATAAACAAAGCCCAAATCTCAGTGGCTTAACACAGTAAGAGTTTACTTCTCGCTCATGTCACAGTCCCAAGCAAGTGGGGAGGAGAAGCTGCGACCCACATGGAAACTCAGGATCCCACGCTCCTTCCATCTACGCCTTCCTCTTGGTCCTCGAAGTGCTCTCCACGCACAGGCAGATGGTGCGAGAGTTTTATGGGCCGGATCCAGAATTGGGACACGTCGCTCCCACCAACCTGTCATCAGCCAGAACCCCGTCACACAGCCACGCTCCCCTGAAAAGGGAGGTGGGAAATTCGGTCTAGCTGTGTGCCCAGGAGAAAGCGGGGGCCGCGGCCCTGGGGATCACTAGGGTTAGGTATGTGTAGGTCCGCTCTCTCTTGCTACAGGCTGGCTCCTCTGTGCTTCAGACCCACTTTGTTCTATTTCTGTGCTGGCCAGATTTGTGCTCTCTTAGCCAGCTCCCTGGTCCTCAATAGTTTCTTGAACCGCAGTGATTTTCTAGCATCAATATCTCCTGTTGCAAACTGTTAGCTTTAACGTTTCTCCAATTTAAACATTCAATATCCAGTTCTACACTGTAGCCAGTGGGTACAGATGAGTTCCAGTGTCATTGAGATGGCTTTTGAGTTTCTGCTTCTTGCTCTCCATGTGCGGCTTTTGGAAGAAGACCAGAAAGATTTGTTTTACCGTGGTATTGGATAGTAGAATTACCTAGCAAGGGTATTATTATATATTTGTTTTGTTTTCAGATAATAAATCTTGAAGATAATTCATCAGTTCCCTTGGTCAACGCTACCAGTCCTATTTCCAACTCCTCTTCTTCAGAGGAAACCACCATCCTGCATTTGGTGGGTATCTTTTGGTGTATACTCATAAACAGCTTGCTCTTTTATGTGGTTTTTAAATATATATATGAATATTTCATATTACACTCTATCAGCAATCTTATTTTCCCAATAAACTTTTATGGGGGTGAAGTGTCTCCACCTTGATTCACATAAATTTATTTTAATTTTTCTCTAGCTTATCAAGGTATGAAAACTTAACCATTCACAAATGAGGGCCCTTTAGGTTGGTTTCAGTTTCTGATGCTTTGGGGCCATGTTTTGCCCTTCCTGTGTATCTAGAAGAGAAATCACTAAATGATAGCTTATGTGCATTTCCAGTTTTCTTGGGGGTAGCCCATCACCCTTCTAAGTGGCTGTACCATTTACACTTCCATTGGCAAATGGTTAGAGTCTCTGAGAATTTATATGGTAGGCTTTCAATTTTTGCTGTTCTGACAGATTGACAACGGTGTCTCTGGTTGTTTTAAGTGGTGCGTTTCTGATAATTGGTGAGGCTGAAGTTCTTCTGTGTCCACATGGGCCCTCTGTTACAATAACGCCTCTTTGTTGGCTGTTCATCTATTCAGAGTCCTTTTTTGTAAGAGCTGCTTGGTTGTTTTTCTTACTGATCTGTAGAAACTCTTCACATGTTTTCCATCCTATTTCTATGTCTGTTATCCTTATCCCAATATTTACTTCAAAGTTATTTATTTTTTTAACGCTTTTGTGTTTATAATGTTTATGTTGATACAGTCAAATCTATCAGTTATTTTCCTCATTCTTTGTGCCTTGCTTAAGAAAACCTTTTTCTTCTGAAATAAGGTGGGTATTTTTTATTAAATATTTTATTGTCGTTCTATTACAGTTGTGCTAACTTTCCCCCTTTGCCCTCGCCTGCCCCGCCCACCCGCCTCCCACAGCTGGTCCCCACCCTGTTGCCCATGCCCGTGGGTCACTCATACACCCCCTGTTTGAGGTACGTCCAGCATTCGTCGAGAACTTGCTGTGTGCCCACCGCTGGACCCTTCCCCTAACATGTTATCACCTCTAACCCTCATAACTTAATGGGAGCAGCACTGCTCCGATCACCCCTTTGTTATACATAACGACAGCGAGGCTCCTTGGGACAAAGCCGTTCGCCCACAATTAGAGCCAGCAACGTACGGATACAGGGGTTAAACCCATACCCGCTTCACTCCAACGCTCTATTCCTCCCGCTTCACATGCTGTGGGAGAAACCCCACACGCGCAAACATTTCCCGATTCTTCATCTCACCCTTCAGCGATCTAGGTCAGACTCGATGGGTCAAGGACGATGGACACACAGAGAAAACTGTGGATGTGGATGTTTATTTATTCACCAATCAACAGACGTTTCCTGTTTGTGCCAAGCCTCCTGTTGGATGCTGAGGATGCATAGATAAAACAGGTCAAGGCTTAGCCCCCAAGGAAGTATTGGTCACAAAGCCACATCTTCAGCTCCGGTTTTTCCCCACGGCTTGGGACATACTAGGAAGTCCTAATCTTATTGAATTGGCAAGAATAAATCTGTGGAAAGAAAAGAAAACAGAGCTTTGGCACAGGCACAATCCAGGTGACCCTTACACCCTTCCCACCAAGAGGGGCCCCTGCCCCAGGCCCTAATTCCCCGGGATAAGTCGAGAGAGCGTGGCGCTGGAAGAGGCGCGATGGTGCTGCTCTTCAGTCTAAGCATCAGGAACAGATCCCAGCGTTTCCCTGACCCTGCTTCAGCCTGCCCGCCGGTAAAATTAGGACACGGCGCCAGAGGATCCTGCAAAGGCCTCCACATCTCTTCCTCACACTAGGGTTTCCTGGGGTCCCAGATACACCAGCCAATCGAGGCAATAGTCACAGCAACACTACCTCCAGGCACATGGCACCTCTAGTCTTTTTTTTTTTTTTTGCCATCATTATTTACAATTTCTGTGCCAGCTCTTATACACAAGATTTTATTTATTTTGACAAACATTACTATCTCATTTAATCTTGGCAAAGCTTTTGTAAATTAGATTCTGTTATTGTTATCCTCCTCATCATCCTCATTTTATAGACAAGGAGACTGAGGCTCAGGGAAATTAAGTCACTTGCCGGTCTCTTAGAGCTGGTAAGTGGTAGAGGTCGGGTTGTCTGACCACCAAGCATTTGCCATATACCACTGATCTGGACAACCTACGATTAAGTTTTTTTTAAAAATTGTGGTAAAACACACATAACATAAAATTTACCGTCTTAATCATTTAACAAGTTTTTTCAATAACAGTTTACTTTCAATATTATTTTGTATTGGTTTCAGAGCACTTCCAGTCTTAAAAAGCACTTTCATACTTATTATAGTATTTCAGTGGATATGATTGCATCCATTTTACAGGTGGAAAAACTGAGGCTATGAAAGATGCGATCAGTTGCTCATAGACACCCAGTCTGTCAGAGGAAGAGATGCTGTTAAAAATAGAATTCTCGCCCCTTTTTAAGTTTTCTTTCTCCCGGCTCATTCCAAGAATCCTTCCCTCCCAGGACCCAGCACGACCAGCCACAGGTGGCCTGGGGGACTTCCTGTTTAGAGAACTGGGGGTAAATGGTATTGAAAGGCAGAGGGTCTGCTTGGTGCTGGGGGTACCGGGAGATGCCAAGCACCCTCCTTTACATGGAAGGGCACCAGGAGGTCGAGTCTGTGTTAGGACATGTGAGGCATGGGTCTTTGCAGGTCTTCTCCTTACCTCACACCGGCTCGACACAGGAATTCCCACACCTCCCCTTGCAGCACTTGAAATATTCCAGGCAGTGGCCGTCATTCAGGCAGTAGTCCCTTGGGTTGCGCATCATACACTGGCCAGTGACCACTGGGCACCTTCCAGGATTGACCTTAACTGGTGAGAAGAAAGCCACAGCTCAGAGCTCCCACCCCCGTCTCTATCCCATGCATGGAGATCAGGTCCTCCCCCACCTCCGTATCCGAACTGAGGAGGCGAGGGCATGTCCTGAAGGAGGCTCCTTCCCACTGAGGGAGCCCCAGCCACCTGAGAGTGCAGAGCTGGAAGGGGACAAGCGCTGGCTCTGCCCCACTGTCCCGCCCAGTTCAGAGGTCCCCCCCCGCCCCCGCGTCCACTTCGCCAAGGTGTGTGTCCTCAAGCTCCAATTTCCCTGGTCACCTTTTCCAGGACTCTGCTTCCTCACCTGGCTCTAATGGGTCCACAGGGTCCATGCATTTGATGCCACAAATGCCAGGACAGCATTTCTGCTTCTTTGGACACTGCCAGTCACTCTCGCATTGAGGAGGTTCATATCTAAGACACATCGCTGGGCGTACGAAGGGGCAGTCTCCATGTTTAGGTTTTTCTGAAGGATAAGAACAAAGGAGGGAAGAGGAGCTGATTCTGAGTCATGACCATCACCCTGGACAAGGAACCGGCTTCCCAGGAAGGGAAAGAAAATGTCTCCCAGGTGGCTGACCCCAAAAGGATGGAGGGAGCAGTTAGGATGGCAGTTTCAAGGTGCAGGGCAGTGCCAAGCTCAGCCAAGCACTCAGTCAAGCGGGAGTCAATGGCCCAGAAGGAAGATACAGATGGCGGTGTGCTGAGAAATGCTGTAAGAAGCAGCCTTTGTAGCATTGGCCAATTTCCAAGGTGTAAATACTCCCACCATGATTGATTTCAGGCTACCAAAGTGATGTCACTAACTCATAAAAGTCTTGAAAATTTACCAATTGTCCATTGCAGGCCAGTGTAAGCCTTCTCCAGGACACAGCTGCACAGGGCTCATCAGGTGACCCAGGTCCAGGAAGAGGGGGAGGGGCACCCGGGCCGGGAGGGAGACAGCGAAGGGGCAGCGATAGTAGGAGGGACAACTCTTCAGAGATTGAAAGAAAGAGAGCAGGTCAACAGGTAGATAGCGAAAGAGAAAGGGACCATCAAAAAGCTCTAAGACAAACATTTAGAAAATTAAACAGAAGGAGACCAAAATGATGTGACAGAGAGAAAAAAGACCAAACAGAGAGAAGAAAGCTTGAAATTAAGGGCCAGGGCCGGACCATTGGAAAGATGGCTTCCAGGTCAGACTGCAGGCTGAAAGGAGCTTGCACTGAAGCTGGACCCTGGGAGGCCCGAGAGGCTCTGACTCACCTTTGCTAGCACCTTCCACAGGCCTGGATGCCAGGATTCCAAGGGCCAGAAGCACCGTGAAGGCCAAGAGGCTGTTAAGCTTCATGGCGAGAAAAGGTGGGGTGGTGGTGGCCAGCGTCGGCCTCGTCCCTTATACCTCGCCCTGAGGGTGTGGTCTGACCAGAACTGGGCCGGCCCTCCCCGCTGTGAATTCATAAACAGGCAAATCAGGCGGAGAAGGTGACCTTGCCACCCGCCTGGAGCGTTGGTTGCTCTTTTCTACCCCTGACAAGAGCGTGAGGCTCAGGAAGGAAAACAAGGAACTCGGAGATGAAGACATTGTGGGGCTGGTCAGGAAGCCACTCTGGAACCCTTTAGGGGCCCCTTTGGGGTGGGTGGGGGAGGGGGGAAGGGGAAACGCCAAGAGCAGAACAGAAGGACATTGTGAAGGAGCTCCTCAGAAACCTGGGACAATTGCCGAGGTGTGACCTCTCGGTGCGCCCTGACCGTTTCACACGCCAGACTCCCGGGGATTACCCAGGCCGCTGCCTTCTCCAAACTTCAGGTCATGACCTCATCCTTGCGGCCTCCTGACCCGTTTCCATATCATACCTGCAGTTCCAGGGACTCTGCCCCTCACGAGGGGGTTTCCAAAGAGTCCTCGTTACACAACAGGTGAAGCGGGGACAGCAAAGAGTACCTCTTCGGGCCTCGGTCCCAGCGGCTGTGGAGTGGGGGTGATAAAAACTGACCAGGTGGCCGAGCAGGATATGAGATACAAAGGCGGACGGGCCCTGAGGAGAGCGAACATGCTCCCCCGAGAAGCTGATGTGAAGCAGATCACTTCTGAGCCTCTTTTTCTGGGATAACCTGAGACGAACCTTCTCAGCAGTCACGTGAGAGCCAGGCGGGGAAGGAGCACCGGTGAACACTCTCCAAACCTTCCCCCACACCCCCAGTGAGCCCCACTGCTCTTTCATCATTATAAGGAGTGTTCTCATTTACTGAGCATTAACTGAGGGCAAGAGGGTCATGTGGAACAATTCTACGTAGCGAGGGAGCCCTCGCAGGTGTGGCTCAGTGGATGGAGTGCTGGCCTGTGACCCAAAGGGCCGCTGGTTCGATTCCCAGTGTAAAGCACACGCCTGGGTTGCAAGCTAGGCCCTCAGTAGGGGGCACAAGAGATGCAACCACACATTGGTGTTTCTCTCCCTCTCTTCCTTCCTTCTGCTCGCTAAAATAAATAAATAAATGAATAAAAAAGCGAGGGGGAAAGGCTATTAAGGTGAAATAAAGAAAAAAATGCATGAGATTCCGAAAATAGAATGTAAAAGAGAAAAGAACGGACTCCCACCCTGTGTTGTTGGTGACAGAAGATACCAGAATGACAGGTGAGGACCAGAAATACAGGACCAGCAGGCCAGAGGTCTCTAGGAAATACACCTCCTAGAAGGTGGAATTAATAGAACACTGGATACCTATGCATACATGGAGAGGAGATTTTGGTGGCTGGTGAAGAGTTAGTGGTTGGATAGGTGATAGGGATATATAAGGACTTATAAAACCAAGCAAAGGCAAAACTCACAATTCTTCCTTTCGGAGATAATAAAAAAGCTGAGTCACAAAGGAAAAGTAGTACAGTTTATGACACAGCTCAGCCGTGATAAGTGTTTACATAGTCATAATAATGTAAACAGTGGCGCTCATCTAATCAAAATGATCGTGTAACTTTGATGGGAGGGAGGGGGATGGAAGGGCGAGCCTACATGCTGGAGGTGCAGGGAGGGAAGAGGTGGTTGAAACCTCATTTTCAGGCATGGGCAGTCAATAGTTTAGATCAAAAACTGAAAAGTCAAGATGTAACATTACATGAGTGCTGCCTAGAGACAGGGCGGTAAGCGCCGGTACGATCGGCTGAACGGTTTCCTCTGGGTGGGGGGGCGTGTATGGGGGTGGTAAGCAACTGTTTCTCACAACTCTGGGCTCTTTAGTCTATCTGTATGTATGACTTTGATTAAATAAAGAAAAATATTTTAAAAGCCTCTTATTTCTATTATTTCACTTAGCTCTCATGATGACGTACCATCACCCAGGGAAGTCACCAAGCATTATTCTCCTTACAGTGGGGTTCCTTTGTACCCAAGGTGCTCGCTTGTTCTCTCTCTTTCTCTCTTTCCTGTGCCCCATCTTACCCTGAACTTACGACTTTCTTCTTCTTTTTAAAGATTTTATTTATTTTTAGAGAGAGGGAGAGGGAGGGAGAGAGAGAAACATCAATGTGGATGTGCAAGAGAAACATCCATTGGTTGCCTCTTGCACGCCCCCATCGGAGGACCTGGCCCAGAACCCAGGCATGTGCCCTGACTGGGAATCAAACCAGTGGCATTTTGATTTGTGGGACGACGCCAAACCCACCGAGCCACACCTGTCAAGGCACTTTCTTTTCTTTTTTATTTTTTAATTAAAAAAAAGTTATTGATTTTAGAGAGAGAAGAAGGGAAAGAGAAACATTGATGTGAGAGAACAGCAACTGGTTGTCTCCCATACGGGCTCCACCCAGAGACTGAACCTATAACCCAGTCAGGTGTCTTGACCGGGAATCGAACCCCCAACCTTCTGGTGTATGGAACAGTGCTCCAATCAACTGAGCCACCTGGCCAGGGCAGCACTCACCCCCATATTAAAGATTACCAGTGCCGGTTTATGGGAACCCTCCCCATGAGAATATAAGGTCCTAAAGAAGGGAGACTGTGCCAGTCTCGCAGTTGCTGTGAAATTCACCCCGTGTGGTGTGCAGCCCTATGAGTTTCAACAAAGGCCGTGTATCCACCCACAATCAAGAGAAAGGATTCATTTGTCACCCCTCAGAATTCTCTTGCACCTTTGTGCTGAATCCCTTCCTCTACTCCCAGCTCTTGGCAACAACAGACGTGTTTCCTAGTTCCCTAGTTTTGTCTTTTTTGACAGTGTCATATAAATGGAATCAAACAGCATGTAGCCTTTTGAGCCTGTCTTCTTCCACTGGGCGTCATGTATTTAAGACCGGTACCTTTTCAACGCTGCGTGGTATTCCATTGCGTGGCTAGGGCACGGTTTGTGGTACGTTCCCCGGTTGAAAGATACTTGGTTTGCTATGTTTTTGGTCATTATGAATAAAGCTGCTATAAGCATTCATGTACAGGCTTTTGTGTGGCTATTTTTACATTTCTTTTGGTCTGATCTAGGAGTAGGGTTGGTTGGTGGTATGGAAATGTATGTAAACTTTAGTAAAAATTGTCACATTTTTTTCCAGAGTGGCTTCCCATTTTGTAGTTCCACCAGCAGTGTGTGAGAGATTGCACGGAGGTATTACTTTGTATTTCCCTAAAGACGAATGCTGAGTGAATTTTCACATGCTTGTTTGCCATTCATGTGCCTTCTTCGGTGAAACTTTGCTCAAATCTTTTACCCATTTTATTGGATTGCTTGTTTGCTTCTTACTGAGTTTTGAGAATTCTTTATATCTTCTGTGTAGAAGCACTTTATCAAATATGTATTTTGCCAATCCTTTCTCCCAGTTGGTGGCCCATCTTTTATTTCTTAAGTGTTTTTCAAAGAGGAGCAGTTTTTACTTTAGATGAAACTGCAATTTTAAAGTTGATGAAATCATTGTTTTTTCTTTATTACGCTTTTGGCATTGGATGTGGGAAATCTTTGCCTACTGCAAAGTCATAGGGATTTTTTTTTTTCCTTTTAGGGCTGCATCTCCAAGCTTCCGCAGGTTGCCTCCGTCCCGGGCCCGGTCAGAGAGATTGGGCTGCCACAGGCTGTCCTCGAATGTTCTGCGCCTGGAGCACTGGCCGATGGTCTGGAAGGGTTGGGGTCCTGCTGGGGCGGCCCCTTGCCAGGGAAGGCAGAGCCGCAGTGGACCTGGGCCACCTTGCGGGAGGGTGAGGGCAGGCGTGACTTAGATTTGAGCCTAACCCTTCCTTTTTACCTTCCTTGGGGACACGCTCCACTTCCTGCGCTTGCACTTGGAGCTCTTCAGGCTGTGTCAGCACCAAGCATCATTTTTGCAATTGTTTGGGGGTTGAACACCTTACAAGTGCCTTTCGCCACTGAACCGTCCCCAGGCTTCACCTGCACTGGAGAGAGCAGGTCCAGAGCTTGGGACCCTGTGCTGTTGGGGACCACAGCCCAGCCTTGCCTGCTGCATAGCAGCCAACCCCTGCCCCCAGTCCCCAGACTGAGGCCTAAGCACCCCATGAGGGAAGGCCTGGCTCTTTTAATCCAGTGCGCCGCTCGTGGACTGACTGGGGGCTGACCTACAGGCAAGCTGACTCTTGTCGATTTCACTCACTGATCAAGTGACCAATAAAATAATATTTACAAAGTTGGCAGTGGCAGAGAATGAGCTAGGCCTTGTCCCCAGCCAGATTCAGAGGGACCCCCACGTGCACCCCAAGACTTTCTGTCCTTGGTTGTAGTATTTGCCCCTTCCTTGCAGGCAGGATCCTGTCTCCAGGCTCAGCATGTTTGCAGACTTCCTGCGCTTCATGCTATGCACAGCAGGGCAGCCTTTCTTCCCTGAGCACTGCCGGTCGCTTGGGCACAGCGAAGGCCCATTCACCTGGCACTATTACGGGGCGGTTGGAGGTCAGCCTCCGGCTTTGTCTTCCTCTGAAGACAGACAACATGACAAGGAGGGATGTGGATTTGACAAGGGCACAAGAGACCATCTTGCCAGGAGGTGAAAGGAGTCCCCAGAAACCAAGTTTGTGGGAGAGCCGTCACGACCCAGAGATAGGCGAGGGGGCAGGGCTAAGGACCGCCTGATAAACGGACAATGGGGGGTGTCTGGCTCCAGACGGAATGTGCAGCGTTCACATTCAGGTGTTCCTTGCCCAGGGAAAGATAAAGAACAAAGAATGACAGAAACAGAGAGAAGAGAAAAAAAAGACCAGCGCATGAAAACATGATGACAAAAATTCAGAGTTAGAGACCAAAGGACTGGCAGAGAGAGAAAGAGAAATAGTAAGTACAGTCGTAAAAATTTAAATGAACCAATTTTTTTTTTTTTAAAAGCCAGATAAACACAGAGAGGGGATGGGATGAAGAGAACAAAGGGAATATTGAAACTGA